TATTTTTTTTTTTTTTTTTTTTTAAAAAATTTAAATTATGCTGATATTTATTAAACATTTTAGTTCACGATATTATAGAAACGTACTTCGTTTTTTAAAAAACATACCTTAGTTTAATTATTCTGAATAACTATATTTTCGTTGGCGAAAGATATTTGTTCAGCATTGTCTTTTAAAAACGGAAATTCATAAAAGAATATTTCTATAATTTGATGAGTATAAAGAAGCAAATTACCTAACTCACCTCAAAATGAACTGATAGTTGGTATTGAAAGAGTAAGAGGTTATTATTTCGTCACGGTGAAATGAGGAGAAATTACCATCTGCAACAAAAGTACCTAATATCTGTAATTATCCTGTACCTACTGACATAATTCAAAGTAATGGTACCTTTATTTTGAATTGTCTGTTTTGTTGCGTGTTTCTTTTTTGTTGTTATTTTTTATTGTTTAATTCATAGCTATGATGTCTTTTAATAATATTATGTTTTTTTTATAATTTATTGTTTGATGTAATATAACAATTAATAGCATAACTAGTGCAATTCCAGCTGCAATAGGATTCACTCCAACATTCCCTTTCATTTATATTTAAAATTGATAACATAAAAAATTTATTCGTTTCAAAAAATTGTCAAAAATTTTAAATTCGATATGTTTTGAACGCTCCAAAATAGACACCTATGTTCAAGACTTGCTAGATGCGAATGAGGAAAATTAACGAGATTCGGCATTGAAATAGTAAAGCTGCCAACGAAAAAAATAATGGAGAGAAATTGGAGGGAAAAAATCAAACTAGAAAAACCGCAGTGGCCGAAAGAAGCGAATTAAGGTAGAATACATTTCCACTTGCTGTGAAAAATTGGAGAGCAACGATTGTGAAGATTGAGAATAATAGCAATTATAAATTAATTTGTGAGGTTTCTAAAGTCATAAACTAAATATAGACATGTTTAAATTAGTGTTATGATGTATTTTTTACTTTTTTATCTAAAAAATAATGCCATTTTTCGCCTATGACTGTTAATTTGTTTCAATGAAATGTCCCAGAAACATATTCTATACAACCAGATCTTTTTAACGATGGATTACTCATAGTAATTGCAAATATATTTTAAACTACCTGGTTGATTTTTAAAGCATTAATTCGTTATTTTCAAATCTGTAATAACAATGATTATCAACAATAAATGTTCTTAGATTTTTATTTAAAATTTCTAGTACGATGTACTTCCTTAAAAAAACAAATGCATCTCTAACTGTGGCATTACTCTATGAATACGTTCCCTGTTATTCTTATTTAACAATCAGAACATACTTTTGAAACAAATGACAGTTTTCTTATTCTGTAATAATATATTGCATAATTATGAATAAAAATGTGACATTTAGTATCACAAATGGTTTTATTAAACAATATTAGAATAACGATTCCATATTAATAATTTTCCTTTGTATTTTTTCAGCTCCAAAATCAACACCATGCTTAGCACCAAAAGGGCTTGAATTTATATACAAATAAACACTAAACATTGCTCACAGCTTTAGTTGAAATATTCAAAATAATAAACTTTGTATTTTTATTTCTATTTATAACTGTTAAGTTATAACTTTGTTCTATTAGACATTGTGTAGAAGCGAATTTTTGGTTCTTTTAGTTTAAATAAATTTCATCTCTTTAATTACTAATCTTTACTTGTTAAAAATTAAGTTTTTGTAAGTTGATTAAACTCAATTAAATTAATAGGTTTTTATCAATCAAAAATATTAAGCAGTGTAGGTATTTTATAGCGCATTTAATAAAACTGGATTTATCATTTTTAGTGGGTAAAACATTAAATTGCATTTTAACACATTAATTGCACATTAATTGCAACCGAGTAAATTATAAAATATTGAATAAAAAAATATTGAGAAATTGAATAACTATTGATATAATTGAATAAAGAAATTGAATAACTATTCATAAGTTTCATAAGTTACGTAGAAAAACTACGTCAGTCGATCTCGTTTGTCCTCTTCACAACAATATAATTTTTTTCTGAAATTGAAGAAATGTTATTCCAAAAGTTTTCCAGCGCACCGCATGGAAAAAAATTCTGGCAAAATTACAGTACTGTTCGGTAATGACACTTCAGGTAAAAAAAAATATTAATTCCGGTTTTAAAAACCAAAATATGCATTATTTGAACCATTCATTTAGTAATTTTTCCGATCAAAGGAAAGAAGGATCGAAAGATTAAGGATCGAAGTCGTCAAAGGAAAACCATATTTATAATTAAATTCATTTAACAAGTGTTATAAGAACGTGATTCAGAAAATTTCTCTACATCAGTACTTTTCAAGGAAAAACGCATTTACTATTCTCTTTTATAAACATTTAATTTGAGAAACAATAGGATGAAAAAATATTATACGCATGAATTTAGAATAGGCAAAGTAATTACTCTGAGAAAAACTGCTTCAAATGTTACACTTCACATGCGAACTCTTTGAGGAAAAAAAATTGCCCTTAACTTCTTAGAAACTAATTTAAGTAATGTTACTCAAAAAATTTCTCTGTTCCTATAACTAATGAAAAAACATATTTACAAATCACTTTTATGAAAAAAATCTTAATTAATAATTCAATTATACTTAAAATTCTGTATTAATTTTTATAAAATTACTTTTATAGAAGTTCTAGTTCATTTACGTCGCACTAGAGCTGCATAATGGGCTATTGGCGACGGTCTTTCATAAAAGAAAAGTGTACATTTATAAAACGCTTATTTTGAAAAATTTATTCCGACAACTTCCCTGAGCATTTAACCAATGAATTATTAAAATAAAAAAGAAATCAATAAGAAAAGAAACCAGTTTTATACCCACTTTTTTATAAACCACATTTTTATACTGAAATTGCATTAGTAAATTCCAAAAATTTCCCTACGAATGCATTTCTGCAAAAAAGAAAGGAGAAGAAGAAAAGAAAAGAAAAAAAAATTGCAAAAGCACCTATGCGTTATAATTTTTCTGAAAGTAATAGTCTTTGCAACTGCAAATTAAATGCAAGGTTTAAAGATATGGATCACATTAGAGGAAGAAAAAAGCAACGATACGAGGAGAAAAAGAAAAAAGAAAGGGAAAGAGAAAAAAAAGCATTTTTTTTTTTTTTAATTTTGTTAATTTTTAGTACATTGAACTATTCAAGGCGAAAACTACAAAACTACGAGACACACACTTTCGGAATTACGTTTTTGGCATGCAAATTAATTTTACCAGTTTCCTTGAACATCGAGATTATCGTAAGGAAACCTTTTCACCCAAAGGTTTCTTCTATTTTTGCAAACCCTAAAAAACTTTCTCTGCGGATTGAGTGTATCAAAGGAAAAACAACATTTACAGTAATTTTAACGAACGAGTTATTAAATTTTTTTATTATTTACCGAACTGAACTCACTATACCCTAGACTCTAGGGCCTAGAGCATGGCATAAAAACCATTTATTCGGTTAAATTCACTTTTCAGTTTTGTATTTTTTACTAAATGCGTGGTGATAAGAACTATAATTTTGAAAACCAGAATTTCCGGTAACTTGTTACCATATGGAGGAAAAAAATTACCAAATGAATGGTTTATTTTATATATATTGTGGCTTTTATAACCAGAAGAATAGTTTCTTTCACCAGAAGTGTCATTACCGTAAAATACGGTTATTTTACCAGAATTTTTACTCGGTAAAGAGGAACCGTGGCAAGATGGCAAGTTCTGTTTCACTTCCGATGGTATTTAGAATGTTAAGTTTAGAGAAAAGTAGTAAATCTGTCGTAAATCATAAAGTTTTTCAGATATTGAAATAAAGTAACTAAAAAATGAAAAATTTGATACTCATGAACTAAATTAACTACTGATTAAAGTTCGCTAGCAAGATATATTTTACATTGAAAATTTCTCTAATTTATTGCAGTTCTGATTGTCGGAGTGAAAAAATATTGCAGCAGAAAATTGCTTTATGAAAATAATTTTGCAACAGAAAAATTTTTTCTGATAATATGTTCTTTATATTAAAGTCTTTTAAATTTAATGATATCAAAGATAAAAATAACATATTTTTAATACTCTCCCTCCTCGTTACACAATCATGGTTGTGGTTGGTGTCTCATGGACGGGCAGTCTTTTAAAATAGTTTTTAAAATTGAAACTTTTTTGGTGTGATTTTGGCTAACTATTTAGTATGAATTAATTTTTTATTCCAGTAGTGTTTTTGATTTTATTATTTCATTCTTCGTATACTATTATAAGTTCCAATCTTGATTATAAGAACATTCTCGTAATCTCATAATAATCTACGATTTTCATAACCTATTATTGGTTATGATTAAGAGAATGTTCATGACCATTTATATTTATGATTATAAGAATGTTCATGACCATTGTTGTTTATCGTTCTGAGAATGTTCATGACTGTTATTAATTACATAATCATGAGAATATTCCCAATTATTTTTTGATATGATTATGTGAATGTTCATTACTATTATTATTATTATTATTAAATATAAACATATTTATTTATGTTATGATAATGATCACGGACCATTGTTGGATAAACAATATTGATATGACCACAGAGATTCTTAAGACAGCTTCTTTTTTTTAAATGTATCAGCTTATTATGATGGATTAAGTGACATTTTAATGGAAAAAAAAACCTTTTAATTGTATATAAATACCAGCAAAATATTGACAATACAAGTTTCTCATTAAAGAGTCTTCTCATTAAAGAGTCTTCTAACTAAAAGACTAACGAAATAAAATAATTCTTTATGCTAAACGCCAATAAAAACATGTTTTCAAAAACAAAAGTTGAGTACTTTCAAAATTGCATTTGTTCACCAAGTTCTTCTATTGTCATATTAACAAAAATATTAAAGTAATAATGTACTTGAAAGCATGATATCGTTTTTCGGAAAAGGAACAAAAATAAAATTCGATTTAAAATTCGTAACTGTAACTTACCATTTGTGGTGGGTAATACAGCTTCATGCACGGCATCACTGCCATTCATCTGCGTAGGACTCGCTGAGCTAATGCGAGTCATTAGTGTTCAAAATTAGTGATATAATCCAAAATTGAAAACAATGATTCCTCCCCCGCAATATGAAGTCACTTATCACAACAATCAATACCAGTTCAGTATCAACATTTCATATTATGACAATTTATTATGTCCGTTTCAAAGCATTTTTAAAATTCAAAAATTAATTATTAATTTTTTTTTTTAAAAAAATACACCTGGTGAGTCATTACAAATAAATCGTGGCTAAAATGAGCTGAAATTTTTTGAAGTGATGTGTCCCCCGTACTGAAATATCTTCGTCAACTAACAGATAGGAACATACGGGTAGGGGGGATATTTACCGTCATCTCATTGGACGAGAGATGGTGATGATATTTTCCTATAGGTCATTGGGCGAAGGTCTTGTGACTGGTTGATGTGCCGCTCGCTTGTGATTGGTTGTAGTATCCGGGCGGGTTGAAATAGGGAAAGTGGAAAATTCCACTTGCTAGGGTATTTTTCTTTTCTTTAAGACCCGTTATTTTTCCCTCTTTCGTTTAGTTATTTATTTATTTTATTTCAGGGAAAGTCTTTTTTTTTCTGCTTTTTTCATCGGTCCCGCTTTTATTCTCTCTTTCTTTCTTTTTTTCTCCTTCGTCGAATTTTCGGTAACAGGTTGAGCAAGAAGAAATGAGAAATGTTACTACTGTTTCTTAACATTTCTGTCAGCTCTGTTTTCTTCTCTTTCTTTTCTTTTTTTTCCGAACTTGGAAAGAAATTGGATCTTCGTAAATAATGAGTTCGTGGATGGTGCAATTTAAAGTAAATATACCTCGATTATTACGGATTATCAATTTAGTCGTAGAATGAAAAACTTTTATGATATGATATTATATTTGAGCTAATTATTTAGTAATTGGAGAGAAATTGGATTTTCTTGAATAATGAGTTCATAGATGGTGCAATTTAAGGTAAATATACCTCGATTATTACGGATTGAATTAAACGTAATCAATTTAGTCGTAAAATGGAAAGCTTTTATGATATGTTTTAACTAATTATTTAGTGATTGGAAGGAAATTGGATTTTCTTGAATAATGAGTTCATAGATTTTGCAATTTAAAATAAATATACCTCGATTATTACGGATACAATTACGCGTAATCAATTTAGTCGTAAAATGGAAAAACTTTCATGATATGATATTATATTTTAACTAATTATTTAGTAATTGGAAAGAAATTGGATCATCGTAAGTAATGAGATCATAGATGGCGCAATTTAAAGTAAGTATACCTCAATTATTTCGGATAAAATTAAACGCAATAAATTTAGACATGAAATTTAAAACTTTTATGATATGATACTACAGCTAATTATTTAGTAATTGGCAAGAAATTGGATCTTCGTAAATAATGAGTTTGTGAATATAGCAATTTAAAGTGAGTAAATCTCGATTATTTCGGATAAAATTAAACGTAATCAATATAGACGTGAAATTGAAACTTTTATGATATGATACTATATTTTGGCTAACTATTTACTACGAGAGTTTTTCTCTATATACTATTTTAAGTTGGTATTCTGATTAAAATCCGATTTGATTATTAAATCATTCTCATGATCTCATAATAATCTACAATGGTCATAAACTATTGTTGATTATGATTATGAGAACGTTCATGACAATTGTTGATTATGATTTTGAGAATGTACCTGACCATTGTTGGTCATGATAATGACAATGTTCATAACGGTTTTTAATTATTCTAAAGTAGGAAAGAAAGTGGATCTTCGTAAAAAAAATTATACCTCCATTATTTCAGACAAAATTAAACATAATCAATTCAGACGTAAAATGTGTAAAATACTGTTCCTCCTACTTATCAAATGAAGAGTTTCATGTTTAAAGGGTAAAATTTTTTCGATATAATATGAAAATTTTTAACGATACATTTTATTAAAATCTTAAATTTAACATTACTTTATATTCTGTATTAGTTCTATTAATAATTCAATAGTTTTTTTTTTATGTTTGTAAAAGTATTGTTGTAAAGTATTGTTTATAAATGTTTAAGAGTATTGTTGTCTTTCATCAGATAAATTCAATGGGTAAAATTAATTTAAACTATATAAGTTGTATTTCCATTCCATAAACTTAGCATAGCAATTTTTGAAATAATATTTCTTATGAAATCACACCGAAGCAAATAATGTTATTTTGCCAACTAAAATGTTATTATGAGCCGCGTTAGCTCACTGGTTAAGACACTGAACTGTCAATGTGAAGAACTGGGGTTCGATCCTCAATGGCGGTTTGGAGCCCACCCAGTTTCAGATTGATGGGTACCAGCTTGTCTTGGAAGTAAAATGCGGCCACTTTGTCACAATCATGCCGTTGATTACGAAATTGTGGAGCATTTTCAATAATTTCTAAGATTTTTTTAAGTAATGTGTATAAAATCTGTTATTGTAAATATTGAAAAAAAATTTCGAAAGCAAATTAGTTTACTGTTATCATTTCAAAACATTACGTTATTATTTATAAATTTATATTAATTAAATACAATGTAAAATTATATTTACTGTATTTTAAATTGTAACTAAATGAATTTAAATTGTAACTAAATTAGTTTAAATTGTAATTAAATTAAACCATAAACTGGGTTTTTTAGAAAAATTAGTAATATAAGTGCAATTATAAAATTATAATGTACACAAATTTTTAATTTTCATACATTGAGAAAAAAATATATGGTCAAAAGTACCAGAATATGGTAACATTTACCATGTTTCTGTCTCTATGGGCTCATTGTTATTAAAGCGCTTTGGTAATGATTTTGGTAAAATTAACAATAAAATTTTCTTTTGGCACATAAGACAAAATTTGGCAATTTTTTCATGAAACCTTAGAGCATGGCATAAAAACTATTTATTCAGCTAAATTTAATTTTTACGTTCGAATTTTTTACGAAGTGTGTAGCAATAAGTATTATAGCTTTAAGAACCAGAATTTACAAAGAACCGTTACCGAAGGAACTGAAAAATTGCCAAATTAATGGTTTAAACGCTATATATTTTGGGTTTATTTACCAAAATTATGATGTTGTTTTTTTTAAATCAGAATTGTCTCTACTATGCAGTACAATAATTTTAACAGAATTGTTTTTCTTTTTCTCTGCTTTGCACAGTATAAAGAATGACTTCTCTTTACAATTAAGCAATTAATATTGCTCACTACTAGTAAGATTTCTAAATAACGCATTTTTGTATTTGATTTTATAAAAATGTTTTTAATCGTCTATAGTCTTTTAAATATATATTGCCAAAATATGTATATGTTGCCGTAAAAGTGTATAATTCAGTTATTTAATAACAATAGCTAGGTATTTCATAAAAATAACTAGACCAGTCAGTTAAAGTTTATAATAGATGAAAAATTTCATACTTCACCTAATTATTCTAATGATAGACCCTTAAAGTGGAAAATAAACAATTTCAAAATTATTGTATAAATTAATTGACAGCTAAAATTTCTCGAGAAATACATTTTATCCCAATTGTGGATGATTAAATGATAGATAATTATAAAATAAGAAGATGATACAATTTATTACTACTCATACTAATAACTACGTCTAAAATCAACGGTATGAAGCGTACACACACGTCTTAGCAAAGCAGATATAAGCGGTTCAGAACTAACTAAAAGCACCTTGAACCGATTCAAAGAACTTTCGAGTGCCGTATTTCATACTTTACCGATTAAGTAATCGTTATTCTATAGAATACCTAGTTAAATCTTGGAATTCAATAATTTTATGTACTTGTTATTTTAATTTTTGTAGTTGTTATTTCAATACTGTTATTTCAATAACCGTTACTCAATACTGTTATTTTAATAAATTTGTCCTTGTTATTTCAATAGTTTTAAGTACATAGAATAATTAGGTATTTCATAAAATAACTGACATGTTTAGTTATTTCATGAAATACCCAAGTATTCTGTGAAATAACGGATTTCACATTTCAACGATAACATATATATTCATTACCAGCTTACTTGTGAAAATCGAACTGAAAATTGAAAAAATTATTCAAAATTTTTCTTCTCCATTCACATTCCTGTGACAGATGAAGAGGTAACATGCCTCTTTGGATTAGTATGTGAGCTAAATTATTTTAAATGAACAGTTTTTCTGCTTCTTATAGTTGAAAAACAGAAATTCTGTATAGAAAATATGAATTCAAAAATTCGCCTTTTAGGAAAAAACAACCATAAGGGAATTCAAGCCTTTCTCGTATTCAGACAAACAGAATTTGAATATAGCCATCAGAGGTCATTGACTCTGTCCAAAAGTGTGGTGTCCGTGCGTGTGAGGCGGGGAAAGTGTGTGAAGGTCACTCAGCTGTCCATACCCCAGGGAATTTCCGTATTTTGTGTTTAGGAGAGGAAAAGAGGATATATAGAATAGAGGATATTGTTCGTTTTCTGATGGTCAGGAGGGGAAGTCTAAAAATAGGCTGACCCGTGTCCTTTCTCTCCCTACACCCTCTTGCTGCGTTGGGGGAGATAAAATGACCAGATTCGTGATTCAGTCAGACAGAATCTGTCAACCCCCTGTCCTCGTCAACCAACAAACTAATTACAGATATAAGTAGAAAAGTAGCCCTTAATTGCAATCACGTGAAATTATCTCTGCCGGAAGTTTAGTTCTTTTTTTATACTGTCAAAATTTCAAAAATTTTTACTTTTAATACTCAAGTTTAATGTTCCCATTTCAAATTTACTAATTTTTATGTCAAATTCAATATAACATTTTTCTTTTACAAGCCAAATTTTATTTATTTCTGTTTTTTTTTCTGTTTTTTTCCCAAATGCACAAATCAATTTATCCGTTTCTCGCTAATAAAATTCTAGCTCTCGAGTTTCAAAATTCAAATTTTTTCGTTTGTTTCCATTTTTAATTTACAGTTCAGTAAAAATCAGTAAATTTACCTTTCATATTTTTTTAAAAAAATTTTTAACTTAATATTTTTTTTAAATTTTAATTTCCTTTATCTTTTTGAATCTAGTATTTTAAAATTTAACTTATTCCTCAGCCAAACTTATTTAATTTCTTTTAATTAATTTCCTTTAGAATTACAAATTAAATTTAGCTTTTTTCACTTGAAGTTCTTGCTTTCGCTTATGAAATTAGTCATTTATAATAATCTGTCAAATTTAAAATGAAAGTTTTTTTTTTTTCATTTTGCAATTTTGAATTTGCATATTAACTTTACGATTGTATTCCTTTTTT